TGTATTGCAGCAGGTTTCCACCTGGGCAGTATTCCGAGAACACGTAGGTTGCATAGTCATCTTCTGTTACCGACAACATTGATACAACATTCGGATGGATGAGTTTCTTCCAGATGACTATTTCTCGCTGTAGTAGTGACTACCGAACGAAAGCGAAAACAGATAAATCCCAACCCTCAAAAAACGTTTTACACAGGCGAACAAAGGTATTTACCTGAATGTGATCGTTACAATCAGAATCTTGATCATTCTTCACAATCTTTACGGCAACCTTCTCTAAGCCAGAATAATCATCCATCCTTATGGCTTCTTTAACGGTGGAGAATCCACCACGCCCAATCACCTTGCCAATGACATATTCACCCACCTGTTGACCTTCTTCATCGGGCATTGGTTTCGCCATCGTGGCCTGCGCCAGATTGGCCAAGAAATCTTTGGCGGGTGACCAAGGGACGTGGTCGTAAGAAGCACCGGTCACCATGTCTGGTAAAGAGTGTGCTTGTGAAGTGAAAGGAATTTCGGTGGAAATACTCTTGGATCTTATCGGACAAGGGGCATGAACCGGTTGGGGGAGGAACGTGCCGAACGAAAATTGCACTTTTCCAGCAAGGGACTGTTGCTGAGCCGCGGAGTTAAGGGTGTCGACGGAAGAACTGATCGAAGATGCCGAGGAACATGGTGATAGCGATGGAAGGTTGCTGGTGCCCGGAGTTGATGTAACCGATGACGTGGCCGTCACATTGGAATGATCATTGACGTCATCTGAATGATCATGGTCATGGTGTTCAACGTTCACAGAGGGTATAACAAAGTGTGATCTATTTCTCGCATCTTGAGAAGACTCGGAACTACCCTGCCCAAAGTAATATATGGAAGTGGTGGCCGGCGCAGAAAAGTAAGCGAATGCCATTCCATGGGATGGTGCGGAAGCACGTCGCAATTGGTTCTGATTTTTAATTCGTAATCCTTCGTGATCAAGATTGGAGGTTACGTAATCCTTGTCATTTTTGTGACGGTGATGTGTTGTTGGATCAATGTCAAATTTAACGGCGTGCACCCCTGGTCTCGTAATCTCCGAGTCATATTTACGCGAATCGGGAACTTTTAGAGTTTTGTTGTGCGCCTGCTCTAACTGATCTGATTGCAACCCTTTGCGCTGTTGACGCGTGTTTCTCGACCGCGTTAATGATGGAGAAGCAAAATTTGTGTTAATACGAAGTGAGGGTAAATCGTCTCTCAACTTTCTAAGGTGCTTCGTTTTTGCTGCGGTATGAGAGTCGGGATCGGGTTCGGGGCTAGCAAAGGTGCGTAAAGTATTATTCAATATTTCTAAATCGTGAGTGTCATATAACTGAGAGCTTCGGTAAGAATGCGCCCAAGTACTCATGGTTGTATGGTGTGAGCGATAAATATGACAATTATAATAATAGTAAAATGACAATTATAATAATAGTAAAATAACAATTATAATAGTTATAATATAGTAATAAAAGAAAAGTCCGTTCGAGTAATGTGTGCTTGTGGGTTGATTGAGTGTCGTGGACAAAACGAAATCACGTTTTTAACTATGTTCGCCTAATGATATGGTTCCGCTTTATCGTGTGATACGGAATGCGCTTGTTCTTTTAAAGAAAGAAAAAGATGTTACGAGAAGTGTTGTTTTATATATATATATATATGTATATGTATATAAATATATATTCTTTCACTCTAGATCCGTTCGTTAGAAACCTACCGTGTAAAGTAAGGTGGGAAAAAAACTGTCAGCAAACAAACGTTCATTTGTTGAACAGGCAAAGAGGAAAAAAAAATTTTTTTTTGAAAAAAGTCATTCAACTACAGGCCCTCCTTTTATATCAAAAGTCGGTGATATCATTCAACCGGAAAGTTCAAATGTGCACTTACTATTATAGGCACTCGGTTCTATACTTCTTTGGGTTTATTTCAATCCTTACTTTTGTGTCGTAAAAGTTAAGTTATTTCAATGTTGGCTTGCAAGTATTGGTTTCTACCCAGGTGAAAACCGCAAGTGGTAAATTCAATTACAAAATTTCTCTGGGAAATCTCATTAAGAAAAAAAAGAAAAAGCAAAAAAACTATCTCGACAACGCAGTAAAGTAAAAAGGTAAGGGGGTTTGCGGTTCGATAAAGACTGAGGTTTTTTTCTTTTTTTTAAAAGGAGGAGAGGATAGTCCAAATCTTTTTATACACCTAATGATGGGAACTTAATATGGGACACGTTAAAAAAAAAAAATTTTTTTTTTTTAATGAGATAACATAAAATTGAATTGGTGGGTCTATCAATTTTCGGAAATCGGAAGTAGGGTAGTTACGGGAATTTCTGCATACCTCATACTTTTACTATATACTAATTATATACTAATTATCAACGTTCAATCGATGCATGTGTATTTGTTTTCGACAAGAGATAATGAAGATCAAAAGAAATAAATTTATTGGCCAGTGATGGTAACGCATAAATGGCTTTGATCGTGATATGATAACTTTCATCATCAACTGTTAAAAGTTTTTTTTATTTACCTCATTAATGTAATATAAGCAGTATGATATGAAACAACGACGACGAGGCAACGCGCCGATCAGATAACCCTTTTGCTAAATGATATGAATCACAAATAGAAATCAATTTCGCATAAACACACAATGCGACCTTGTTTTGTCAGAAGTTGCGTAAAGAATTGGTCATTTGACCTGGTCGGATTGCGCTTTACGACTCCCGAGGTTTTACGTTGAAATAAACAATCACCAAGCACTCAATATTTCACATATTGTGCATTCAGAGGCTTATCGATAATACCGAATCAGCCAAATGGTAGTCCCGATTTTTGCCTGATAAAAAGTGTACACACGTACGCACATACGTACTGTACAATTTATACGGGTGATAAGTTGCCATGCATTCACATGCGACGTGCATTGAATCGCTGCACCTAGATGCGGAATGTGACAACTCTAAAGTATATAATGGTAAAATCTTTCTTTTTCCCATACGTGCATATCAATGTCGATGAATTTGGTGTTGTGTTCGTTATCGTTAATGTTCCGTGTACCACCAAAGCATTATCTCTAAACACTCGCCAAAGAAATCCGATCAAGTAATCGATTATACAATATATAGGCAAACTTTCCCGACATTTCTTAACCAAATTATCAATTTTCAAAGCTGCCATACTTTTTTAAGAAACCGTTCATATGATCCTATTGCGTAATCCTATGACGACCATAGGCGAAATTCCCCATATACGCATGTGTTAATTTCGGAAACGACTTGTGTATATGTCGCTCAATTAATCAATCATACTTGAGAATAGCCACACATATTACAACCTTTACATTACCAGTTGATGTACTGTAGATGCAATAGCCTAGTTTTATTATGCATCCAATTAAATTTATCTATGCATTCTTAATATACCGTATATTAATATTAATTAGAGGCATTTTATAACAATATACTGTACACAGTACGTACAGTATACTACTATTTCAATGGAACGAAATTATTCTAGCTACAACCGACATTCCTATGGTTCGAGTGCTTCCAAGGATAACAGAGAGTTCACCAATTACTGTATAGTCAGTTATTACATCTTACTGCTAACGCACAATCCAACCCCAAGCACCACAAGTCCCATCCCGAGCCACGTTTCTTGTCCAATGAAGAACAGACAAAACCGTCAATTAGCACTAGGCGCTGAGAAAAAAAGCACATCGGTCACCTCGGTCGTCATACCTTTATTCCCAGCTTCTTCGCCAAGTAAACTGGCCGCAATGGTGGTGAATATGAATGTTAACGAGTTTGTGATCGGAACTGCCAATGATAAATCTGCGAATGATAACATGAATTAGGCAGGTGCCTCCAGAGTCGAGTTGGCGATTATCGATGGAATGGAGTTTCACATTACCTGCTCGACCAAGTGTATGATAATAAACCACAGATCCACTCAGGTTCAACAACAATGGTATGATAAACTTAACGATGGAGGGAAATTTAAGGAAAGCGCATTCAAATTCACCGGATTCTACAAAAGACTTCCGGTAATTACCTGCCACCGAGTAACAAGAAACCAAATTTCTCCCAGTATTTGCTTTATCCACGAGTCACGTTTGATATCTTCCAGTCCTGCGCTGCCTTTTTTAATGAATGGATTTGTGAATCCCCAACATGCCGCGACTGTGGTGGATTTCATATATTGCATGATAAATTTATGTAATAATGTGCAAACACCACGAAATTTTCATTCGACTTTACCCAATAGAAATCCTATTATATTGTCTATTTTTATTATTATTATTATTATTATTATTATTATTATTATTGTTGTTGTTGTTGTTACGTCAAAAGGGAGTAAGCATTTAGGATAAACATCGAAGGATTCAAGAAAAAAAAAAAATCATGATAATCACCAATTATCGAACTGGTTTCCTCGTCCATCCTATTGTGAACATGGGAAAGAGAAGATTTTTTGATCGATAGGTGTGTGTATATATTCGTTAAGTGATATTTAAATTGATAATCACAGAATGCATTCTTATCTTCTGTACCACATCAAAAAAAAAATAATAATATTTAAATCAATTAGAATGGAAAGTTTATTTACCCCACTGTTACAAACGTGGCTAGGCACACGCGCGCTAACTCAGAGCAGCACGAGTATTATTGGTCGGCCCCAAATTGAAAGGAAAGGCCAGAAATGCATCATAATAAGAAGTTCCATTCGGGATACGTGTCGGCGATCACACTGTAAGCAATATGAATTCAATTTTCTTTATAATAAAGATTAAGCGCCCTTGATAAGCGTCTCATGTCCACATGATCATCCATTTGGAGTAATGGTTGATTGCACAACAGAGGTACAGTATATAAATTCATTTCCTTTCCTTTCCCCCGGCGTTCTCAAAACTGCCGCGGCGAATTTTCAAATGATCGGTTGGTTCCACTAATTAATAATACGATTCTCCAGATTTCCAGACTGCAAATTTGACTTAGAAGGAAAGATTTTTTTGAAGATTGTTCGTTGGGATTTGCATGTGTTCCTTTGTTTGTTCATGAGGGAATACC